ATCGCTGGTCCCAAAGATTATGTAATTATGTATTAGAAAAATACGTTTCTATATGATAAACAATCACTCTAAATATCAACAAAGGCAGTAGGCGGGCTGAATTTCAAAAACAGGAAAGAACATTGCGTCTCACCAAAATCTTGCGCCAGTGAGGGCACAAACAAAACAAATGCATTCATCTTGTCACACGTTCTGCGGTCTGCGTAAGCGTACCGGTTCTTGCTTCTACTGCTCATGGTGAATATAGCTGTGCTGGTGTTAAAAAAGATATTGCCATGTTGATCGAGGAGAACATGGGTGGAGACCATTCCGGGGTAAGGTTCGCTTGATGTGTAGCCATCATAGGTAAATATTTCTAGTTGAGAACCAGCCATAAGAAAAACAACAGGGTGTGAAATAAGTTTACCTTAAAGCTATCTGTTTGGTGGATCCTCTCTTTCTACCTTCAGTAGCATATTAAGTACGTTTTATGCTTCGTAGTAATTATATAAAAGAATTTTGATATGAAAATCGGTTAGAAAATGCCCTACCAATCAGCGGTATACCTACGAAAAAATGTAAAATAATTCATTGAGTACTTTAAATAATTACAACTAACCCTTTACGGTGACACCTTCGTGGTGGCTTTCTCTACCTCATTGCGTCAACAGATGTCATTTCTGTAGGAAAATATAAAATTATTTATTCTATATGTTCGCTGACAGATAGATAATTGTATATATGTATACCTTATAGCTTGCTTTTTGTAAGATTGTGTTCAGTTACGAAAAAGCGTGAGATCCAACCTATTAGAACAAATTAATTAGTGAATGATATGCTTCAGAATTTTTTATTTATTCGTGACCGGAAAAGTTCTTACTAAATCAGTAAACTCTAAAATATATGAAGGAATTTTTACTGAGAATATATGAACAGTTAATATAGGACAGAGGTGTTCAATTAGAGGAATCTGGAAAAGAATGGCAACCAAGATTTGGATCTTTATCTCAGAAAGGGAGAGAAAGATAATGAGGTAAATATTGTAAACAACGTGAATATTATTAATATTAACGTGTCAAGGAGGGTAAGAAGTAAAAGCTTCCTATTTAAATTAGATTCTTATGTGTATTATACGGTATTAGTTACAGATGGACGCTATGTTTTCTGAATGGATCCGGCTGGCAGGATCTTCATCTGAACGACAACGCAAGGAGGCGCTGATATCACTTCGGGATTTTTTTACCAAACATGGAAAGCTAATCGAAGAGAGTAAACTCGTTCTCTTTGGGCTTTTTGTGAAGGGTAACTTGACTCTGTACACAAGATTTATATATGATGTGGAGATGCGGCGTAATTATTAGGAAGTAGAATGCCAGAGACATTACATATTTTAGTTAGGATTGAGAAAAAAGTTGAACATACATAGGTATAGCATATGTGATAGTTTTAATATGATTTGAGAACGACTAAACGTATATGGACAGTGACGTGATAACATGGCCGTTTACCGTTACAGAATTTAGATTACCTTGGCAAAATTCCAACAGCTGGTTCTTTTGTGTCTTTTGAAAGCTGCGCCTCTCTTCAGCGACCGGCATTCCGCACTCTGATTTTTAGTTGTACTTTATTCTGTTTAGTAATTTAGGAAGCAGTCAATTTCCTGTCCTCCCATGCCTGAAGTTATAATATCTAAATAATTATGCCCTAAACAGAGACTCACAGGGTTTAGTAAATGTTCGTAAAATACTTCATAGTCTTGGGTATATTCATCAATTTTTAAGAGAAAAGTTCTTGTTATTGTAGCATAACTTTTGATAAATATTTCCTGCAAAGCAATTTGTAACATTATTTATGGTTGGAATGAAGCTAAGAAGGTTAATTTTTAGCAATTAGGTTCATAGAATGACAAAGATTGTTAGGTACTTAGCTGCTTCCAATTGTTGACATGGTTGAACAGCCGTTGCCTAGGCAAGCTTCGAATCAGAGATACCCGTAGGGTAAAACTGAAGTATTACTGTCATTTAAAGAACTGAAGACCTAGTTTTAACGGATAAATCTTCTTAACGATTCAATCAGTCGAATGCTTTTAATGCTATTGAACAGGCTCACTTTAGAACTCGGTTTTACGTCATTGTTTCTTTTTGTCCAAGACGTTGCTATAGTATCAAGATCTTCGTGTAAAAGAAAGCCCTTACTTCAATAGTGAATTGGTCAGAGTTTATCTCCTCAAGTAAGACAAACACGTCTTCAGCTTTGGTTGTCTCGGGCTTTCATGCGCGAAATGAGAGGGACGAGGCACTACAGGAGCCAGTCTATGAATTCTAGAAGTTCTGATAATGTCGCCAGGCTACATAATTTAGGTGCGTTTCGTTTTATTTTCATGAAAAAGTTTGCACTTGGACCGCGTAGATTCCAATTTTTTTATTGATCAAATCTATAATTTTTTAAAGAACGGAATTCAATGTTTCGAAACTAATATACATGATATATAGCTTACACACAAAGTTAAGCATAATGTGCCTCGTTACAAAATTATAAATAATTTTCCATAAACAGTTTCCATCAATTTTGGTTATACTGGGGGCGCAAAATCCATGTTCGACTTGGCCGTCTTCTCGATAAAAGTTTTAAAAATAGGCATGTTAAGGTACCTTTGCTTCCTGATAAAATACGAATACTTTGTCCGTTAAAAGAACACGTAGGCGCTAGCAGACCTGCGCATTGTTCGGAGTTCCTTGTTGATTGTTGAATGACAGATTAACTTTGTGTCTACACTTACTAATATAGCTGGGCGTAGCTGGTATGATGAGAGCAAGCAGAAAGATTGACAGTATAAAGAGGTAGTAGAGGGACCACGTTGTCGCCATTGTTACTTCTGATAGCTGCTTGCGAAACCTATTTGAAGGGTAAAGCCAGTGGATTTCGAGGAATGAGAATGTAGCACAATGAGTGCAGGTATCGACTGATCAAACTTTTCTCCAAACTCGCTTATGTATGCACGCCTTTATGTGCGGCTAGATCACACATCAGATAATGTTAGTTATATCTAGTTTCGAAGACTTGTCAATTCCGAGAATTCATTCAGTTCTCTTCGATAATTCGAACGCTTGATTCAACACGATGGGAATTAAAACGAGATTTGCTCACACCAAAAACCATAAATCTATGATGTCAAACATTGAATTTGTATTTGCACTATAGAGTAGAGTAGTATTAAGGTTAAGACAGTAGTAGTGGCAAAATACACCTATTTTCTGCTTTCAACGTCGGCATGGGTGTCCTAGGTCTATAAATGTTTTCTATAGAAGCTTTCAGCACTCTGATAATGAGATCAAAGTTTACGCCATGTTTATAACTTTATAAGATAGTTATAAGAATTATATAATTTTGAAACACTTTATAATATAAAAAGTATAGCGGGAAATTGCAAGTAAAGGCTTAGTTTTGAAAAATATGGTTAGATCTGAAAGACAGACATGTAGTTCCGGGAGACATTAGAAGGGGAAAGCATTAAATGAATGATAATTAATGCAATATCGGAATACTCTCATTTTTTCACATAATTTTGCGATTAAGACAGGGTATCTCCAAAAAAATTGGAGAAGATTATTGAAGTGCAAACGGCGCAATAGGTCGCAGACTTAGATTGCCTCTCATTGTTTCTCAGCAATAACAACAGACTGGCCTACGTTTTGCCTTTCACTAAAAATAATATGTCCTTCTTACAACATCTTCTCCATTCATCACGTTTAATATTCAATAACCGTTCTCTGTTCAAAGTAAAGTTGTAAAGAAAGTAAAACTGAAACGTTTAAAGCAATTTAACGAAAAAAGCGGCTCGTTTTTTTTTATCAACGCGCATGTTTCAATAAAACTGGGGTATTTTTTTAATTGTTGTTTAGTTATTGCAAAACTAAAATTATTTCAACTTAATGAAAAGGGCGATGCACAGGGTTTCACCGCAAATTATAAAGCATTTGCCTTAATTTAACTTTGTTTTCAAGAAATGGGGCTTTGAAAGTTAGCAAAAGTCCAGCGTAGTAGTTTTAAATACTACTCCTATCTTTGCCAATGTAGGCGCGGTTTATCATACAGCGATACCAAAAAAAAAAACATTGGTTGCAGTCCTTCTAGTCGCCTTTCCAATTTTCATTGCAATAAGCGGGCTTCTATAGCTTAGTCAAAAACAGGTCGCTGAAGTTATAAAAATCAGTCGCGGTGAAAAAATCAGATAAAACTGGATTCTACGTAGGGTCGAATCTAGACAAAAAATAAATTCGGATTGAACTTAAAACACGAACCAGAACTTCTTTTGGTATACACTGAACGCCTGTAATGCCCCGCACTCTTTTTAAAAAATGTTCTCTCTTTTATTCACGTGTTTGTATAAAATAGAGCATTTATTCTATGGTAATGGCCAGACGATTTCTATTTGTCTCCCTGAAAGAAATATTTCGTGTTAGTTCTTTTTTGGTGTTCTGCAGTCTAGCCGCTTTCGGACGCTTTGAATATGGTTAGCTCGATATCTGAGCTAATTTTTTTAAACCTGTTGCTTTCGTTATGGATAACTGCCGGTTGCAGGAGAAGCTGCAAAAACTTATGTAACTTCAATGTGGGTTCTTCTAGACTCTTACGATAAACACTAAAAGTCTTATCTAAACTATTGTAAATCCCAAATATCTATACTTCTAATGAACGGTCAGTTCGTGCGGCAGAACACGCATACTTGGAAAATATTTACCTAACGGTTTGCTATAGAGGTGTCACAAGTCAGTTTTGATGCGTGAATTTGCAAAGTAAACATATTACTAACTGAAATGTTTGATTAACGATTGTAAAGTTCTCATCGCAGCTTTATTTTGTGGTGTACAGGTGCCCTGTTTACTTACTTCGATGGAGGCTCCCGCGACAGGCTGATCGACACAGTCGGAGTGTGTGCGCGTGAAACAGACAAAGGTGCTACATATATAGGTCAGGCATTAGCAGCCACTGGGATCGGCAAGAGTCAATGCCATGTTGCACCCAAATTTGCAAAAATTGGAGTTTTCGCCGTCCGTCTCACCATTGTGACATTAGAAGCTATCGGCGAGGATCACGAGGCTGCAGAACCACTCGTCGGTAGAATGCGCACCGCTAATCGACAAATTATGTGCTTACATTTATAAATAACTCAATTAGTATCTGTGATAGAGGAAGTATCGGGGAGCACGTGTGATGATACGATTTTTTATTTTTGCCAAGTAAGAGTTTAAAAAATCTCCTCAAAAGTTAGCTGTCATCAGCTAATATTGGGAGCCGTTGTCAGAGAAGGGTTAATTTTACTGATTAGAGCATCCTGCTGGATTCAGCTAAATAAAACCAGCAGATTCCACTTTGAAAAGAAGAAACAGCCTTCTTCACGAGGGTACTAGCCATTTAAAGCTTGGTCGTTTTAAACACTGAAAATTGGTAAGGTCAAAATTTGTTTTCCGCGAGATAATTATTCAATCCCCAGGTTAATTTTTTTGGTTACGTAGTCCATATATAGGCTACTCCGCAGCAAACTTCCACTACCCAACTACTCGGCCATTAAGATAAAGATTCGAAAAAGGGATTTTTATATTTCCATTTTGCGCTAAATTTGCACTTTCTTCGGGTTTATAAGACTTTTTAAATCCTTTTAAGTATTACATCTACAACTTTTGCTTTGCTCCCATTTAGGCGTTACATTTTAGTAGTATTTGTATTTATAAAAATACGTGGATAGGGTTACTGAGGGCTTTAAGCCACAAAGCGGTATTTTCCAAAGGTAAGAAGTTCAGCATGTATTATGTTTTTTATCGTATCAAATTTACAGTATATGCTTTTTTGATAGCTCGTCGAGGGAGCTTTCATATGCTGCCAGCTACTTGAAGTGTGCCTCATCCAATTGAAAAAAATAAGAATATAACGGGGGATAGAGATAAGAGAGGATTATGCAAGAAGTTATGGGTCGACCTTTACTTGTTTTGTAACAAGTAATTTAGATAAAATCTTACCTATGTGATACTATCTGACCTGTGAGCGAAATCAAAAACGCATAAACACTTGAAAATTTACAAGGCATTATCAGTTTTCATTTGAGCATAAGGAATATGATATTTAAATTGGAAAAGAATCTACATAAATTGCATAACTTTTCCTTCTACTGCAGATATGCACAATTATAACCGATAATATTGCGGATATCGGGGATTTATTGATTCATAAACTTCAACAAATGATTCATTTGGTATTGTAACATATTCTTGCGTAATTGCGGGTTTTAAATCTTCCAGTGTCGTCAACTGTCTGGCGTATGCTTTATACGGTACGTCCACAAGAAAAATCCATTGACGTCAAGCTTGGGGAAATGGCCAGTGCATTATATGAGACCTTGTCGAACTCACCCATTTGAAAAATTCTCATTAAGGTAGTTCTTACGATCAAGGTGGTCGTCATGAATATAGTGTGCAGGTGCTTTGCTCTGTTAAAAATTGAATTTGCCATTATTAAAGTTTCTCGAATGCCTTGTAAAACTGATTTGTACAGTAAATTTAGGTAATTGGCACCTATCGCTGTAATATAAAAGTGGCTCAATTTTTTGCAAAAAAAACCGCATTACTCTCAGCTCCTGGTAAATTTATATGGTGTTTTTGCATAACACGTGAATTTATGGCCGTCCTATAAGTGCAATTATGTGTCTCCAATTGCTTCATCGGTTCAAATAATCTTCCACAAAAACAATGCATTTTATTCACATTTTGCTAAATACTTAGCAAATTTGTTTTTGCAAAAATTGTTAGCAAAGTTGTTTCCGCGATCTAGATAATCTTCCTTAATAACATATATAAACGTAATTTTCTAATTTTCCACATTCGATGGATTAATTTGTCTATTTAATTCTCATACATATATTTAGGATGTTTCACCATAACCTTCCAGAACATTGTCTATAAACCTCCTGAACGGTTTAAAACTTATCTTTTATTCGACTAATTAAGCGTAAGTAGATCTATCTGAAGTTCCGTGAGTATTGTGTGTATTGCTTTTATACTTCTGTTATATATTCATACTTTCAGTAGCATTTCAAAATAAATTTTTAAAAATTAATTTAATCCACTTTTTATTTCCGATTAATATATATCCTGAATAGAAAAAAAGGTTCATCCATTCGGTGTATCCATTTCTTAAGGCACCTTGCATACTCTTTTAATATTCTTCTAACCCATTAATCCAGGTATCACAAGCTGTCATGTACAAACTAGTGACATTCAGCCTTCAATCTTTAGAATATGGTTCTACATTTCGTAGAGATTTTATGCATTGGTATAGAAGTTGGAAGTTAGAAAGTTTCGTGGTTGAATTAACTTGAAATAGCTAAGCGATCCAAAATCATACCGCGAAGTGCGATATTTCGCATTATGTGGTGTATTCACATTACGTACAAAATTTTGCAAAACTTGCAAGAACAAGAAAATTACTGCAAGGGTGTAACTTAGCCGACCTGTAAACTAATCGAGCTTCCAAGTGGACTAAAACTTTTTGTTTTATAATTACTTAAATGTTGCATATTAAAAAACAGTGATATTTGATTTTTCTTATCGTTCTTGCAAACACGAAGAGGCACGAGTGAAGTAGCTGGTAGCATATTGAAGCGCATGCCAAAAGCTGGTAAGAGATTTTATATAATTGTTTGTGCAAATAGTAAACACCACGTGTGTAGTCCCACACATAAGCCTGTGACAATATACAATTATTCATTCCCCTTCTAAATTGTGTCCCAAATGCAATGGAGCTGTGTCATTTAATTACATTTCCGTGATTACTGGGTCACAAAATGCATAACATTTTGCGATGAGAGATCGACCTAAATCAATTACAGTACTTCTTGAATCCTGTATTAAATCCAGGTACGGCAATGATACGGAATAAGAGTCAGCAGCAGAAAATATCAGATTACAAGACTGATTCAATTACTTGAAATTGGCACACCGGTATGTACGTACGTAACGAATACTACAATAAGACGACTTTGAACTTCATATCACGAATTAATATTCGAGAATTGGATAACAAAGTGTAGGGATATGATATCCAGTAGAATAATCCTAAACGAGAAGGGGGAGTTGCGGTTTTTAGTTCGAAAGTTCGATGCGTCGGTATTCTAAATATTTCCTTCCCATATATACCCATATTTTCCTCCCAAAAACATCTGAAGTTAACAACACAGAATCGTGTGAATGCTAGATGATTTGTTGGTCTGGAGTTTGTCTAATGACAAGATATTTACGCATATTATGCAAAAACAACAAGGACGGAACATCTGATTATTATATGGGTGATGTAAATCGTCTACACTAAATGGCTGAACTGACTAACGCGATACCTATGGTTTTAAATGCTCGAGTACGATGGGATAAGTGAAATTGCTTGCACATTTGCGCTCTTGCAAAAAAAAGACTCTTAACAGCGAAGTCAAGACCGATGCGATCATACAAAATACGCAGTCACACATTTTTATTCACCCCGAAAGGGTGACATGATACTGCAACAAAACACATGTGCCAATATTCAGAACCACATTCACTAAGTACATGTTACAAAGACAATAAATACAATGGTAAGAGACCACCCAGACGTTACACGTAGTGCATACTATGGTGACATTATTATTAGTGTATTATTACTCATTAGTGTATGCCATTCCGGAATGTTTATCCCGCACGTTGATCAAGCGGGCAGTTATGTTGAAGATTATAAGCATTCTTCAGTAAATTTAAGATATTCCCCTCTATGTGGGTTTGGTCTAGGATTTGGAGATTACTATGGACACGTTTGTCTGATATTGTTTGCCCCCGACCATGATCATTCAATATCAATGAGCTTAAATAGCGGTTCTGAAATAACGATTATTGAACCTGCGTTGTAAAATTCAATTGCAAAAGGCATGTCAAAAAGCTTAACTGCGGTGAACTCAGTGTAAAAGATTCATAGGCATATCAGAAACGATCAAGTCTCCAGAACTATTAAATTGCTACTACCACTTTTTTCTGCTAAGAATGTGAGGGAATACAAACCTTTCGTCGCTTACTTTCCGTGATCTACTACAATTGCTACAGATGCAAGTTAATATGAATTTGGTGCAGTAATGATGCACACACTATTTGCTTAGTAAAACTTACTGGTATACACGGTTGAAAATTTACCCTCCTGACCTACCATAAGGCTCTACTAATACTTTTTGATTATCAGTGGGTACACCAGCTTGCGTAGCAGCATGATTACAACGTTGAGTTACCTTCTGAGTGTAACTTCGATATTCGGTATATAAAAACTTCGATTCTAAATAAGCACGTGCGCTGTCTAGGGTTATGGCAGCTGAAAAATTTCTGAAGATGAACTTATTTAGTGTTAAAGTAGAAGTTTATACACGCTTACGACAAGCAACGAACATCTTACCCAATGCCGCAGAGGACGTAAAAAAGCCAGAAAATCTGTTACAAGGTGCAATGCTACTAGATATAATTGCTGGCCTATCTGTATGGAGTAGCCGATTCTGATACCACAAGTATTGCAAAAAGGGGGTCTAGGATATGCTGTAATGAAAGGACTAGACTGATGAAGTGTACATTAGCGCTGGGTTGATACAGGTATAGATAATTAAACCATGTCAACCTTGCATTAAATTTGGACCCTATCACAGCCTTTCCGGCGAAAAAACTTGATAGCCTTCATAGGATTTCGTAAGACCATTGAAATATGAATCTCTCTTATTGATTAATGCATATTTTGAAAGATCTCAAAATTAATTTGGTTAGCTCCTAACACCTTAGTAGCTAAAGGTACTTGATTTATTTTGGGGATTGGAAACCGTAACCTTTTAGTCTCCGACAGCCATCCAGCATTACAAGTATTCGAAGAAAACGCATTCTTTCATCATCATATCATCCACAAAGCCGTGGTCTTGCTGAAGTTTCGAAGAAGTAAAGACGCTTAAAAACTCAAAGGAAACACAAGACAAAAACGTTATTGGGGCGTTATTACTTCAGAAAACGGACAGAGTAATACTTGAGGGCAGAAAAACACTAGTGCGGCTTTTCATTGCGGCAAATACGAGAGGTTGTAGTACTCGAGAGCGAGTTGGAGGAGCTCAAGATCAGCCACAATACAAGTAATCTATACCAAAGTATAACAATATTACTAAACATGTGCCATTTTGATCAATGACCTACTACAATTTTTCCGATAACACCATAATTCCATCACTGTACCGTTAGAAACTGTAGTTTCCGGGCGAAAAATTGTAACAAATTATTTTTGCATCCCTCTATTGAAACTAATTTAACACCACTTTATTCTACAGAAACGTGAGATGATCTGGGCTATACGGCGGATAGATTAAAATTTCATATTCAGTTTTTCTCAGTATCTTATTGGACAGCTTAATTGCCATGCATTGTCACGGTAGAAGACCACGCCTTTTCTGGTTACTCGGTCCGGTCGATTTTTTTAACGGTTTGTTTCAATACTGTAGACTATTGACACTAGATGTCCGACTAGATCGTGTTACCAAATAACAGCAACTCACACAACAAAAATTGCACTCTTGTTTTCCAGACTCACCAAACACATAACATCACTTCATTTGGGGTTAGTTTGAACTTTCCCAGAGATTATGGGGCATTTTTTTGTTTGCACATGATTGTAATTTGTGACCCACTTTTCATCAGCAGTGATCAATAGAAACAGTTCAATTTAGTTGCGGTTTTGCAGATGAAAATAATCGACAGATGAAAAGCCTTTTCTGTAGGCGGCTTTCTTAAAATGGCGGATGTTCAGTTTTTTGGCAATGTCATGGTTATTCACGTGTCGATTTTGCTTAACTTCCGCGATACGTTATCAACCTTTTGCAGTAACTACAGAAAGCATTTTTTCCATTATTCCCAAAAAGGAAAACAATAGAACCATCTTCAGGCCATTTCTTGTAAGAACGTATCTTGACAATGAAGAGCACAAATTTTTAATTGGCATAGGTAGCGCTTGTGCCTTTATTGCAAAACATAGCGAATTCTTGCGGAAGTTCATTCATCTTCAAAACTTACTTTCAAGCCTTACCCTAAATCTGAATTTAAAGGCTTTTCAGCAATTTTGGCATTTACACTTCCGTCGGATATCAGTTTTCAAATAACACCGATGCTGGCTAGTGAAGGTAAACGAAGATGATAAATGAACGGATTGATATAAACACTTGTGAGAAAATTTTTTTAGGAGCAAATGAGCGGGCAATTTATTATTTTACGTTTGTACATAACAAGCTTCACCTGCAAGAGCCCAAGAACAATAATCTGAAGACCAAGCAGTGCGAAAAATCAAAAGGTACGTCAGAGCCGCGCTGGACAAATGCGTCGCAAAAAATGAAGGACAAGCCTACAGATCGCTTTCCGGAGCAAAAGCTCGGGTCTCCAGAGAAATTCTTCAACCCTGATTAGACCAGAAGAGAAATATTTGCGAATTTTGTGCAGGCCAAGGGAGTATTGCTTGATGAGGTGGGGCTAAAATTCGTGTTTATAGCAAACATGCGACTTACCTTTATTAGTTTTATCGCAACAGCATGGCTTAATTTGCATGCGCAATTAATCTATTTGGTTTGAGATTAGCTGCCAGAAAGAACCGACGTGATTAATAGGCTTCGCATTCACTTCACGCTAAAAATGTGAGGTAGATGCTCAGAACATTGTGTCCTCAAAGGCAACTTCTGGAAGTTCGAAAAATTATTCCAGCTCTTTATCGTGTCTAGTCCAATCGTAAGTTGGAAGTGTCATTTGTAAACCGGTAGTCTTTGTTGAAAAGCTACTCTTGACAACACGGAATGGTGTATTCGCATTGGTTGACGGTAATAAGTATGCTCACATGTTGGAAAGTGTGCCTGTGTAAAATCAGCAGCAGAAAACAGGGGTTGCTTTTCCTGCAGGCCAAGCCACTGGCGTTCTCAGACTTTAATGAGGTTAATCTGAGTAACTCTTAGGCTTCTTGCGAAACACAGTGTAGTACAGAAAGAGGAATCTTTCTCCGAGGTCGACAGTTGCCGTATTTTCCCGCTGGCTGCATGTAAAAATGAAAGTAAGCTGACTGGAACCCCGTCGAACCGGCCGTCAACCATTACGACAAGCTAAACGCATATTTTGTAGGACATTAGGTTCCTGAATTACACTATATGAAGGCACTTAGCTGGGATGTATCCAAGGTACGAGAGTTTGTACAAGATGGGTATCGCTGACTATTCAAAAGACTCAGCGCGGGGAATTCAGCTAAACAACGTGTCCCACAAGAGCTTGGAGTGTGTTGGTTTGAGCGAATGGTCAACAAATTGCTCAACACATGAAGAGACAATGGCCGCGGAATGGGCATCCCACAGAGGTTGCGTGGCGGCGGTTGGTACAATGAACTGATATAGACATCAGTCCATTGTATTCCACCATTCTATTATTATTATTATTCTATATACGAGTATAGATACCCGATATTATAATAGATCGTTTTGAGTACTTAAGGCATAACGTGGAGCCTGACTAAGGCAATTCAGCTTGACTGACGAAATTACAATCGACACGTTGCAACATATAAGCTTTGGGCAATATGCCTATGGTTCAAGCAGAGATCTGTATTCCAGAAATAGGGTTGATTTGCAATGTTCTGAGCAAAGCACAAAATTCTAAGGATATGCTTCTGCTCGGTCGGCTTTCCGGGTTACGCAGAATCTTTTTCCTTTCCAAATTGTGTCCTAAATGCGACGAAACCTTGTCGTTGAGTTGTGTCACAGAGTAACAGCTTAACAACAGTTGTTCTGCTCCTTACCCTTTTGGAATGTCGTTAATGGAGAACATTTCATGAAAATGAATGCAAAGTTAAAATCTATTTTTCAATATTAACTTTTTGTAGCTGGTCATTTGCTAAGCAGCCTATAGATTGGGTTTGGATGGTAACAGTGAAAACGATAACACCAAATTGTTACTGTACTTTGCACAGTTAAGAAGATTAGCTTTTAGCTTCAATTGTCCGCCGTTTTGTAGCCCAAATTAGTAGGAGGTTTGGAAAGAGCATAAGCAGTACTTTTCAAGCTGGCTAGCGACGTATAACTTTAAACAGTTGCGTAATCTTTTTCTCTCAGGAGACAAATCAGTTATTATGCACGTGTTCCCCAAGACTTGTTTTATCAAAGGCAAAGTAGAAAATAATCAAAACATAAAGAATCCACGCACAAAATTTGTCAGTTAGCCATTGGTTTGACCATTATATATGTATATTAGAGGTAGTATTTGTAGTTTTTTGTGTATCGCTTTTCTTTCTTAGAGCTCATCTTTTACTGGCCAAGTGCTACTATTCCACCCTTTTTTTTCACTGTGAGTGGGTTAGTAATTCCGTTTTGTAGCAAATTTAGACTTAGTTAAAAACGTTGTTAAACATTTGCGGAGGTCATATATTGCAGATCCAACCCGAAATATTTTGGCTGTGGAAGTTCTGTAGTCCAGAAATAATTTCCTATCATTGATTTGCGATATTCCAAGACTTGCTATGGATCTGGAAAATGTACGCCTCTCCTGTCAGCATTTCGAGTTGCGAAAAGTTTGTCTGTGGTACCTTCGCAGAAGAATGACTTTCGAACAAATCATCAAAAATGTTGTATACATTAGTGTGTTCAAAATAGATCGTTCACCACATTTTCCTGTTCGAAGCTTTTCATTTCTAATAGTACTTTTTCTAATTTAACGGCAAGAACAGTACCCAATCCTTTTCCAAAACTGTTTTTTAGAATATACGAAGCATAATTCTCTGTATCTACATATGTTTATTTTTCGTTGTAAAGTGTTCTTTCGGTTTGTATTGGTAGGTCTTTGCATGCTTAACTGAAAAACCCTATTAAATATCGAAATGTTCATGTTTTGTTTCTTAAAGTTATTTTTTTTACAAACAAATTAATTTAATAATATATTATTTGGTTATCATTTACATTCCAAGTAATACTTTGACATTCTTACGAGAGAAAATTTTATGTATGTTTCGGATCTTAGAACATTATGGGAATTCGATATTTCCAGATATTTGGAAACATATTTATATTTTACTACAAACTGTGTATTAAAAAGATTGTATGAACTAAAAAATATAAATTCTATTAAGTTGGCTCTGTTGTTGATTGATGCAACCAACCTTAAACACAGATGACACTCATACGCAGCCTAAATCATCATTTTTTTTTGTTTTTATGTTTGATACTAGAATCTTTAGTGGCAAGCTTCGAAATTTTAGCCAACAATAACCACAGCGTGATTAACATGCAATTAATTAAAAAAATGCGCATTAGTCATTCAGTCCACGCCGGCCTTTAAAATTTGGGTCACACAAATAGTTACATTGTTCTAATCCATTCGTTGCTTGGTTCGTAGTTCCTCGAAAAGACAAGAGAAACAATGGTTTACGTAGAAATCATAATAAGGAAAACTGGCAAAGGGGTCAGAACACTTCCAATCTTAAATGGAGCTTTACGTCTTCCACCCTCAATTTTTCTTGTTTGATCCAAGGCTACTGTAGCTATAAAAATATTTGTTAAACACGAGTCGAAACTTAATCTTATATGATCTTTATGTTCGTTCCCACTCTGCTTGTTATTGTAAATAAACTCTTTCATTTATGTGAACAATTGATTAGTTCTATAAATATTAAGAAAGCTCAAAGTTCTGTACAATTATGCTACATTTTTTTCTAACTCGTAGTTGTGGCTAAAAGTCTGTAGTATTTGTTTTCTCCGAAAAAAAGTGACAACAAATATTCCAATCACGTAAAATGTGGATTGTAAATCCACTGGTAGAAGAGTTTTCTGTGTAGAAGTGTTTTAACTTACACGTTAATGACGCGAATGTTAGGTTTCTATTTTTTGCTGCCCAAAATTAATTATCTTTTTATATATGTCTAACCGCATGCCCTTTCACTATGGCACCTCTTTACATTAAACTGATCAACCGCAATAATATACCCTTTGATGCTAGCGTTAGATCTCTTGGGCGTTATTTCAATAATGGGACGGTATAATTGTTATAGGTCGCCGCTAACTTTTTGTAGCCAAAATATGTAATTTTCTCAATATATTCTACACCTTTTCTACTACCTTCAAGGTTGTTTGGTATCGGATTCAGATCTGTAGACTCTTAGTAGAAAAACTACAAGACGCCTGCTTTGAAGCTATAATCAATGTTTAGATATTATGTACATTTCAAAATTGTTACCCTGTCGTACAGTCCTTTTTTGTTTATACTCTTGAAAGAGTAGAGTAACATCGTATGATGCGTACACTTTTGCATAATCTATGGCGGCGTTCATAGTACTGGTGATTCAGTGCAAAAGGCCGGTAGCTTGACAATTAATGCATCATAAGGTACGTATCTCTTCCATACCAAATTTTAGCAGTAACAAACCTTTTCAAATAAACCAATATGGCGCGAAATATTGCTTGTAATCAATTTGTTACCATCCACTGTGAAACATTAGCTACAGAGTAATAAATAGGTACTTATGGTGCGTCAGTTATAACGCTATTGGCCCCATAGATGCTAAAAAAAATGCTATGAACGTCACTACATACACAAATATACATGGCAATGAGATGATTCTATATAAAGATAATGCATTTTATAATAGGGTTCGCATTACCAGTTTAGTGGACATCACGTCCAAAAAAGCGTCTTGCTCGGTTGCTTGGTTGAAAATGCCATGTTTGAACGTAACAAGCCATTGTTGTTTGTCTTTGTGATGATGCAGTGCTGAAATTTTTGCCTACTAAACGTAGGGGTACATGAGGTGGCCTAGATTAAGACTGATTTTAGACACAGTTCGTTTCGTGCTGGGAGCCAGCCGCCTGAGTAACAATCGTAAAAACTTGTAACATTTAAGCTGCTCTAGAGTAATATTTTTAGCAAAATATTTCTATGATAAACGTTACAAATATCTAAAGTTGTGTCAGCAATTCTGTGACCTCCGCAAATAGTAGAGTAAACGTACCGATCTTTGGAGTCCAAACATAAGATTTTGTAACACATATAAAATTGTGAGACGACCTTTCACAGCAAGAAGAGCACAGCAGTTAGTAAATCGTGAGAACTATATGGTTTCAGGTGGATGAAAAAATATTGAACGCAATATCTAAGGTCCAGTTGCATTTAAGTGAGCATAGATTTAGTGTGTCCATTAAAACTTAGACTATACGAGAATTTCACTCTTTTTAGCCTTGGGGATCAGATTTCTCAAAATGTACATCATTTGAAATATCTCCATAAAGATTCTGCGCAGCCAATCGCGGCTCACTTTTTTCTGAGAATCCGCAAGCAACTCTCTCCAGCCTCTTAAGAAAACCGAATGTTTGTATATTTGGGGTCTGCCTGTTTAGACAGAAGTACGGGGAGCAGCAACTTATGCATTGCTCTGAAGACACTTAAATCTAGGTAGAGTTGTCCACTGAAGCAACGGATTTTACCTTTAGTACGGACTGCAGTGAGGAATCGATTGTTGGCTCCCACCTAAATCTACTAGAAAATTATAGTAAGTTCAAAATAGGCATGTAGATGGGTAGAATTACGTGCTGCAAGAACTCAAGTATGTCTTCGTTTACTCTTACAGATGAAGTGCCTCATTCAACTTCTAGCATGGGTTTGCAAGGCCGGCAATGCAAAACTAACCACAGTCGCTTTTCGAACGTTCTCACACTATATGTCGCAAGTGTCGGTCGAAAGCTTTGCAGCCAATTTGAGCAAATGTGAAGCCGACCTTTGCGCGGAGGAAAAAATGATCATTTTGGAGTTTATTTTCCGCTTCCTGGAGACAAAAAGTTCGAAAACATCTACGCTAATGGATACTTTAAAGCCTCAAACCTTCGAGACACTTACGACTTTGCTCACAGCAAAGACTGGAATTCTCAGCTGGGTCTCGAGCAACTGGGCTCATGTTCTCAAAATATATTCGTTGGAAGATTTTGATAAAATCGTTATGCCCCCTTTGCAAAGGCAAATGCTTCGCAGCCCCGAGGTCATCATTGCCAGTAAGTCTTCAGTGCACCATTCTTTAGTTTTTTACAAACAGACGAACTTTTATTAAACTAAGTGTTTGTTATTTGTCATTCTATTTATGCTCTCTGTTGCAGCGTTGGCCGACATTTTCTCTGGTCTGGCTCTCGATTTGAGTTCTTCTGCGGAAAAATTGGTAAAGATGTGCGGCCCTTCAGTAATAGCCAATGATGAAGGAATTCAAAGAGCAGGGCGAGCCGCAATATTGGCTTTAGCTAAACTGTGCCCACAACAGCATGCTGCTAAGACGCTACTTACTTACCAACTGGGCGTGCTTGCAGGGAGCGAAGGCAAGCTTGCCAGTACCTCACAGAAGCTATCAATAATAGCCACAATTCGAGAGGTATTTTTTATTTTTGATATTTTCGAGCATTATTCGTCATCATATGATAGACTATTATCGTATACTCGTCTATACGTATAATCCTGCTTTGGCCAAATAACAGCTCAAATTAAAATTCGGTATTTAGGATTAAGTAAAACTGAAGAATCTCGATACTGGCCGTGCCGCCCACAGCGAACAATAAACATTTGCTGAAAATTTAGGAGAAATATTTTTGAAAGATTTTTTTGCTGAATTTTGCACATAGATTTAAACTACCAAAAAAGATGTAAGTGCTATTTTTGAATGAAATTACTGTGATTAAGAAAGATGCATATGGAATACTATTGTAGTTTCCATTACTTATTGTTTTTAAATAACAGGTTTCGTCATTTTTGTCCGCACCACATTAACCTTGAGTCTGTAGTTAAATCTTCTCTAAATAACTACCTTTGACAATCTTTTTAAAATTACAATTATTTTATTTACAGACAAAAACTGCGTATGCAAACGATACGTCTTTATCATCAGAACTATTGAGTTGTATACTGCGGGGCATGGCGCCTCTGCTCAAAAGCGAAGTCAGTGAACCAGTCATCCTCGAAATGCTACAAACCATTGCGGAGTAAGTGAGGAAAATTAGTTGTTGCTCACATTCGTGGACTACATTTCTGGTGAATCTTTATTATACCTTCCACAGGCATTAGTCTGCAATTTTGGTGTGAAAGAACCTGAGCTAGACATGTGGGAAATCAGGTGGGTCTGTTTATCCAACCCGTGAATCTAAAGATATTTTCTAAGATAATTCTAAGATATTTCTTAGATATCTAAAGGGTGCATTTCTTCTTTCCTCGGCTTTTGGTTCATGCCTTACTATAACTACAAGTGAACGTACCCAGCTATCATTTTTAAAGGTACCTTTATAGATGTTCCCATAATGGACTCCTATTAAAACATGACGCAAGCTGTTGTACAGCGCTCAAATGTTTATCATCTAAAGTCTGAATCTATTCGTAGAATATTATGAAACGTTTAGATAAATTTATCTTAATAACGTTATATTCTTAAAAATTACGAATTATATTCCTGGTTCCCGTATCTCTTAGTGTCAGGTTACCCGTAAAATTTATACTGTGATTTTGGATCATTACACTTCTTAAGTACGCGTTGCTTTAAAACCGGAATACCAGACTGCTCTTAGATTACTTCTACTTAAGAATTTACAGTAGTTACTGGTACGTCTACGCGGTTACGTTTTACAAACATATTTCGATAAACTATAGACAATGAAGTATTCTTTCCAATTAGGCCTTCGGACGCCAACATATTATTTTACCGGTAAAATTAGTGAAAACAGGACAGGTCAGTAAGGATTTTGGGGAAATATGTGATTGTGACAGCTAGTGCCTAATTTCAATATGGGCACAAGTTCTCACAACATTTCATTAAGCAAACACATATGGGAGGAGAGGATAGCGACAATTATAGCCGTTTATTAATAATTAAGTAATAACTTGCACGAATGAATTACATATTGGCCATTTGGGCTTAAAAATTTATATTCACCATAATGAAGCATACGCCTTTGGGAGCGATAGTTAAGCAATTAGACACCGCTACCGGTCCTACCGATTAAGCCCAAGCCAGTCTGTATCAGTGATCTGAGTGTATTAGTTATGTATATTGCAAGGACGGTGTCTTTCATTAATAGAAAGGTCTAGCTAAATTTGCTGTGATTGATATACAACAAATCTATAAACGATGTGCCTTCTTGTTTCTGATTTGGCTAAATCGCGTTTCGTACGTAAGCGCATTGGAGAACGGAGCGCAAAACTAGGCAGCCTAGTACTCACGGGTTGCCGTTTCCTTAGAGATAAATGGTTCGTGAGGCTCTGGAAACGAAATCAACGGCTGTTAGTTACTTCGTTAAGGATTTCAGATACTAGTGCGTATCAAATTGATCTCCTACACCAACTGATGGGGCTTAACCGACGTGCTGCGCGAGCTTCTTCTAAGTTAATTCCAAATTTCACAACGTGTAGTGGATTCAGTCCTGTTTGAATGACTAATGAGTAAACAATTAAGCCACATGAGCTGTCCAAGTACTGACGATTTGCGCATCCACAGTTATAAAGGATGCGGTAAAGGCTCATATACAAGGAAGAGAATCACCAGGAAACTGCTGTCCTGATTGTTGAACTTTACTGTCATACAGGAACTGTACATACCACAAAAACAAAGCGATATCATTTATTGAAGGGAAGCTGTCATCGGCCTCGGAAATCTTCTAAGGAGATCGTCTACACTGCTTTGTACCACTACGAATAATGTGGGAAGTGCAATAAAATTCCTAAGGCATTTTTCAGCTAATGCGATAGCGCAAAATGTTCTTAGTCCGCATACCAGTCTGATATCTGCCTATAAAAAGGTCTCTTACTTATTCGGTTTATAGAATAAAGAAATTATTGCAGAGGAGGGAAACGATATTTGACTTGTCCTGTTCAGCGGGTGCTCCAGAAAAGTAGAACCCATTTCACCATTTTCCACCAGCTAGGTATTTAAGCAATATTTGATAAAAAAACATCTCAGTGGATGACGATATTGCATAACTTAGACCTATTAAGTGAAATTATAAATGGGTCTTAATATGACAACCTGTGTGTCTGTTCTGCATGTTCTTTACCGGCCTGTCTGACAATGAGTCAGCAGCTTTGACGGGATGGCATTAAGTCAGCATTTGTAAGCGTATCCTTTGACTATGTGCGACTACTGAAAATCCCTTGGGCTGTTAACTTACTTACAGATTTATTTTAAGTACAAATATGAAAAACAGACTCCACAAACTTTCAAATGCCTTTTTTCGATGAGGATCTGTAAGAATTAGGAGAATGATGGTTGTCACATGTCTCATACGAACGATAGCGACACTTATCCGCAGAATGACGAACGAAATGCTGTTCGCTTTCAAGTGGCCTGTCGCAAGCAAGAAAAAACAACGGTTACCTCTACTGCTAGCTCTCCGTCTTTGCGGGTGAATTGATTGCAGGCTTTTCCGTCAACCATGATTCCGTCGACACGCACTGCGGAAGCTACCATGCCGGTCCGTCGTGCTAAAGATCTTGATTGTTAAGTCTTCACACTACCACCCATGCTATTATATTTATAAAATTCATCACTTGAGCTACCTCAGAAAACTGTGTTTCATTATTAGATTTGCACGAAGATCAATTTTTATATAATCTTGTTGCAGCGCAACCTCCTCGGAGATAATACAGTTCTTAGGTAATCTAAAATCATTAGCAAAAGGCGTCGCAAATAATATGCGGACGCAAAAGACGCAGAAGCAGGTTTTAGCACAGTTTAGTGAAAAATCTGGAGGTGAAAAAAAAGGAGAAACGCTAGTGGACACACTAGAGTCCATCGACGTCGTCGAAGAGTCTTTGATAATTCTTTCATCGATTAAGTCACTATAGCAACGAAAATTTAATGTGGGCATGACAACCACGTCACGGATTTATTTACTATATATGTCATATGTCACAAATGTCAGATTGGCGCTTTGTGAGATGCAATGAAACCAATATATTTTATCGACGTTGTTTGCTTTTTAGTTCTGTCAAGCCTGAAGTAACAAATCGTCTTTGGTCTTTCGTTAATAAAAAAAAATGATTATCGATGCAAAAATAAGTCACGGGAACAAACATGTGAGCGGTTTAGATCCCTAGTCGAAAATATAAGTAATGTAAATGGAAACTGCATTGAACAAACGAAGGAATGACACCTTTAAATGACGCAAGCATTTTTTTGTGTTAGAGGTACATTTTTTATTTTGACTTGTCCTAACGTCTGAACAGCTATATACCTGCCATTCGCGTTTCCATGTGTAATTATTTTGTATATGATTTCTCGACTAAATCGATAGTGGGACAATGTTTACAAGTTGCTCGTTTCAGGGCATGAATAGCCTATTATTACACGAATTTAATTCGAGAAGTTAAGCGGGTTGAAGCCAGCATTAGATATTTTTTGCTTAATCTAAGAAATAATTGACGCACACCGATGACGCCCGGCGTTGCCATCAAGTAATCAGACTGCGTGTCTTCGATTCCCGTGTCAACGGTCTCTGAGTCGCTTGAGAATATTTGAAGTACCGAGCTACATTCCTTATTTCATTGAAATGAGTAGCTCAGAGTAGCAGATGCCCCTGATATTCATTGCAATATACTAGCATTCCAATCTACTCCGCATTACCACCAAATGCATTACACGCATTTTCAAATGGCCTGAGTCATTTATGGCGGACGCATTTTGTTACCGCATTTTCAGACACTTCAGTATTTCCGCCCCAATCTTGTGACTTGTGCTTCCATTTGAGTCGCCAGGAAACTTACTGTCTATACTTCATTTTGTTTAAAAGGCTCTATAATTACGGCAACTCGTTCTTTGGTTTGAGATCTTCAGTTTTCCTCAGCTTTTGCGGCTGCTTTCATTTTCAAGTAATAGAAGCTGACTAACAACGTTGGTTTTTAACACTAAACGTTTTCTTTATGTGTACACTCATTTTTCTTTGATAACACCTAATCAGCCAGTGGCTTACTGCAATTTATCATGCATTAGAGAATACCTCATATAAATCCGGGTCACATTTACTTAGGTGTAGTATTTTATGCCTTTAACAAATGGCTATGCTATAGCTATGTGGCACTAGTTTACTCACGATTGTACAGGGTCAGTGGCACCGGAGTTGCAATTTCTAAGATAACCGTAGCGTCACCCGTGTGACTTGCGCTGTCTTCCCACGGGGCGAACTTATTATTGTCGTAAATTCACCTGTCGCTGTTGAGCTTGAAGTCAGCAAAGCACATGCTGTCGGAATTGCACAAGGTCTCGACCTACCGTGCCTCCAGATCTCGGGGGACTCTCCGGGCAGTATGGTCTGGTAAGCGAATAGTTCATGCGGACCTAAAACAGGTCGCACAAAATCCTTAGAAGGCTCGTGACCATGTCCTCAAAGAGTTGCCGAGATCAACTATCTGGTGATTTCTTGGATCTTTTTACGGCTGCTGGTAGACCTCGTACAGGACTACCACCTTCTTGAATCACGAATTCCGCGCTGATGATGAAACGCTTCGTCACGTATTGTATTTAAGCCGCTGACGTGATTTACCACCTATAGCTTCCTTCGCGCGGAGCATGGGAAGTGTTTTCACGACCGCTGAGACTTCGAATTCCGAGAAAGTCCAAGAAGTATGAACCCTGTAGCCCAAGAATTAAAACTTTTGGGGCCTAGTCATTGTCGGAATGACGGAAAGAACGCAAATGGCGGAAAAACCCGTTCTTTGTCATTTACAGCATTTAGAAACGAGATAAATGGTATCCGCAAAATCGGGTTTGAAGTGGTGCTTTTCCGGGCCGAAAGGAAGTGCAAATCAATCATCGCATGCGCAATTTAATCGTTACGGAAGCTAGGTGAAATTCCTTTGAAGCTCCCGGTAATTGTGCGGATCGTTTAGAAATTGCGTTTTTTTTTTTAAAAAAATGACCGACAACATTGTATTGCGCACCTTAAAATACCTGTGTTCGAAATTAGCTCGTCAGGTTCTGGTCCCACAGGAATACAACTTCCGAGGTCGTCCATATGTAAAGCATTGCCAATGAAAACGCCTTGTCAGGGCTGATCCTGCGGCTGGTGCGATACGGACAACACAGAGAAAGGACCCTTGACTGCGCATAACCTTAAGGTTTAAAAAAGGTTATGTACTACCATACGAGCTTACAGGTAGCTTGGCGTACAACGTAGAGGAGAAAGGAGCCCCGACCACCCCAGCCGAAGGAAGCCATTGCTTTGTATGACTAGAAGAAACTGACAAGTCAAGTGCAGAAGGTATTGTAATGGACAGATGAAGGCTTGTTTGTTCATCAAGAATAATACAAAGGCCTACGATAGCCCAGCTTACCCAGCGGTGTACGAAGGCATAGTATTTTCCCCTTGTCGTCTAGTCGAGCATCATGTTAGACTCTTTGACGGCACAAGGGATACTTTTCCGGATCCTCCCGAAGAGTTTAAACCGCATTCGTACAACAGAAATCGCCAATGCAGCTTCATCCGTAACAATTCCAAATAGGCTTACCGTTTCTGCAAGTAACTCAAAGGCCACCCTTAAGAGGAGGTGATGCTGCCAGGTTTTGCATGTGCGCGACGGATACCGATTGTACAATATCCCGGGCGCAGCTGACCCTAACCGCAGCAAATCTAATGAAGGAACCAATAAAGAAATAAATATGGTGGTGTTCGAAAGACAGGCGACAAGTGCTTTAGGCGAAGTGCCTGATTTGATCGCATCCTCGTCGACTCGATACTAGACTGGTCTACGTATTCTGCCAATTTACAGCCCGGGTCAAATATAGTAATTTATTGGTCTTAGCTTTTCGGCAGGGCTGTATCGTTTACTTGCCATCAAATCCAACGAACAGAAAAGCTATTTGTTGAACTTAACTTACTGCGATTTATTCGACGTCCGACAGTCCCGGGCGAGATTTGCTTGGAAATTTTAATGTAATTTTTATTCTCCGATTTTTCGCCTTACATATATCTGTTTTAAAAAAACATCTCTTTTTTTTAAAACAAATGGGTATCTTACGTCTAAGCCAACGCCTCTAATCTTTTTTTGTCAAAAAGGTTGTTGTTTTTCATCGGATAGTAATAGAGTGTGAGATATAAATTCTTCAGCAGATTATCGCGAAAAATTAGTAATGATCCAAGAACTTATGAAAGAAGCTAAATTTCACCCACTACTTGCGTGGGACATAAAATTAGTGATCCGGTATAAGCCGCCTTCCGTAATAGTTATAGATAATTTCTATACAAAACTAATTAAATCCTTATCAAAACACAGCTCTCAAATGGATCTCTATATCAAAATACCAAATCCAAGTACGCAAAGAACATCGAAACTAGCTTCTCTCTAGGCATAATTTTTAGACGTACTAGAACGTTGGTTAGAAGTGAGCAAAAATAATGCATTATGAGTTAAATATAGATTAAAGAAATTGCACGACTTCAAAAGATAAATATATCGATTTCCAGATATACCCGATAACGCATAGATTTATTTAACCAACAAAAATCAATTATATGGAAACAGTACGTACTATTTTAATGGTATACTTGCTAATTAATTTTTCAGGTGGTGTTCGAGTGTGCCTCTTATACCCAAAGAACTCATTTCTATTATAGAAATCGGGCTGCGTCTTAAAACAAGTAGCACTTCTATACAGGTAAGACATTTAAAGGTTTTCTTTGTCATGAACAAATAAATATCGGATAATAGGTTTCGGCTGCGAATGCAATGCTCGGGACTAAACCATTTTAGGGTTTTAAACAAGTAAAGATTTAGCAAGTTTAGATCAACATTTCCTCCATCTTGTTCTAAGAACTTATCATAAACAAATTTTTATACAGCCGAGAGTTCTATAATTATCCGCTGTCATCATTCAATTTTTGGTTCATTATTCGTATTAAGAAAGACTATCTGTGAAGACTGTAAAATTCTTGTCTTCATCTGTAGTTTTTCTCATTTCTTTACCCAACTGAATTTTTCGAACAAATAACCGTCTGCTTTCTATGCTGATCAAGTTTTACACCCGTTTGATTCCTGTGCTAGTGACATTAATCATTTCATATCTGCCATCACTGCGTCGGTTGTTCTCAACTTTCAGCTTCGAATATAGATGTTGCAATAATCTATTTTTGACATCTGATTAGTCTTCTGCCGAGGTCGAAAGGCACTAAAAAAGCCCGGAACATCTGTGCCGTATACGTTAAAAACTAGATAAACCTGCAGAATGTACCCGGTCCTGACTGGCCTTTCGAGTTCGGCAAAAATTCGCAAATTTTGAAAACTAATTGTTTTCAAAATTCGAAAATTGATGATTTAAATTTTCGAAAAATGCCATCGAATGAAGGTACCTGATGATTGCCTCAGATGTGCGGTCGACCTTTTTGGCCGATTCTCAGTTTTTTTTTAGCATTCGCCATATAACTGTCGACTGAAATCTGTTCGCTTTCTGGGCGCTTAAACTCCATCCGAAAGGGCTTACAGAGTGTTTCTCAGCTATAATTCAATCGCCGTAGGTAAGACAAATACCCTAGGAGCTCTTTGGATTGAATGCGAAAAACGATATTTTTGCCAACCTTTCAACAGTTTATATTCATTTAATGCCGGCTACGTGTTGTAACAATGTTGGGTATTCTTTAAGTAGTGACTCCTTGTAAAACATTACATAGTATATTATGGGAAAAACATGTTATTTACTGCATAAAAAGCAGATACGTCTTCCTTTGGACGCATATAACGGCTCGAGTTTATATGTAGCAGTAGAATCTGTGCAAAATTGCTTTATTCATCTTACTCCTATTTCTCCGGTTCCCCTTTTTCCAGTATTCCGAAAACCAGGCCCGTCTGTAGAGTTCTTGCATGTAAACACAGGGTTTTTCTTCCAGATACTAGTTATATATCCCGATATATTTTCTTGCAAAAAGTAACCTACATATTACGATTGGCAACATAGCCCATAAGATTTGCCTCCACCGAAAAAGTCCGTGGATTTCCAAGGCGTGTAACTACTGATACTTACATCTTTATGATATAAGTACCTATCTATATAGTATATATCCTTACTGATACTTATATACTTTAGCAAACAGGGTCCTCAGGCTTTCCGTCTGCAGTATTAATATTAATCTTAAAAAGGCGAATGTCCCGTTCGCTAAACGTCCCGCTTTCTATTCGTATGCTAAATTTGTCGTTTGGGTCATCCTTGCTGTCGATTTTGTTTCAATATTTTATCGACAAAGTCCAGGCTAAAACCGTTTTGTCTACCCCACAATTGCTGAAAGTTTAATTTAACCACTTTGTCGAGTTGCTGATTTCATGCAGAAATGACTACCTCGTACCCAACTGTAATTTCGCGAAGGAATCGATAAAGTATTATGTTGATTCAAGGAGCTGTAACTTTGATATAGCCTGTGTCTGGATAAAAATCTTTCGGTATTTTGGGCTCATTTTTTTGTATGTGGCTATACTTCGCGCCCCGTATTTTATTTTGTTAATACTTTGTAAAAACAGCGTTATTTTGCGTAATCAAATTTCTTAATCGAGTTATACGCACCATGCTTTCTTTCTTTGGAATCTGAATTGGGCTATAATTTTGTTTTGTGTGAATTAAGTGTTTTCTAAAGAAGCGAAAGTGTTTGTGAGTGATATTCAAGCCTTGCTAAGCAGCTGAAGAGTATAAAGAGAACCGATTCAGAAAAACTGAAAAAATTGAATCCTTTATGCCAAAAAGGATTCTTTTCGAAGAAGGCTTACTACAATACATGAATTAGCGCATCTTTTGAGCTTGGTTGATCTAGGTCACAAGTTTCCTACGTAGCCTATGAACTGATTAACTAGAAAGCCAGTTAAACGTCAGTTTCTTATGATTTTTTTTTATTTAAACTATTTCGTGGAATTAGTCATGAGAATGTACTAAATTCTTAATTATATAATGATATAAATGATACCAGGAAATAGTCTGAATAGGATAGTCTGCCAACATAAATTGACATATGTATGTATAATGATGTTGCAACAATGTATCTCATCCCTTACATTTCCATTACATATATATCATTATAAGATGTGATTAAAAAGCATATGTCCTTAAAAAGCTAAATAGAAATATGTCTCATAGCCGTACCTTGTTATATGTGTGCACATGATAGTTCTCCAAATTTATGGTTATGGGCACTCCGCTTATGCATTCTTGCCGCATTGCGCTCTGAGTATTATGATGCATTCCGAGCTCTGTTTTAAACAATTTAGTATATTGAGTAAACTCATTCCATTAGGCTTACTCAATACACTAAATATCCAGAGTATGTGCAACTATTCTCTGCTGGTTTCTAGGTGGCCTACCTCAACTGCTTCCTTTCTGGCCTTACGGATGCCTCACCTTCCTCTATCCAACAGCCCAGTTTTATTAAAACACTGGAAGACGTTTTGCGGACTTCACAGGGAAAATCGGCCGTTGTAGCAATTTACCCATATTATATCGCCACTGCTTGTGTACTTTACAAATTGGCATCGAAATTAAAACCTAGTGAGTAACTGCAACAAAACAATATTTCTTTTTCTAGTTAAATTTTGAGACTTGATTTAAATAAAGTAAAATCTGGAAGAGCGATCACTGTGTTAGCCGTAAACAGAAGGATTTTTTTAGAGGCGGGACACCTGAGGCAACCAAAATACGCGTTGAACCATTCGAAAGTAGAAAAAAAAGGAAATATTTCTGCCTCCCGAGCAATCATAAGGTACCTATGATTGCTGACATCACGAATAAAAATTATACTGCTTTATCAATCAGACTTAGCGTGATGTCTAAAATGTCTTAGAAGCTGTGAGTATTTTCCACTAGGCTAAATCTATTATGCTTTTCAGGTGATGAATTGGCAAAGTTACTTTCTCAAACGACCGAAGGAGCCGAAGCCTTACCCTACTTAGCGGACAAATTTATTTTTTCTACGGTGTCGGGAAACCCACTTTTAGAACATATGGCACTTGAGTTAGTGGAGATGTTACTGCGCGATGGATGCCCGTTTGGAGCATGCTGCCCGGTGCTGTTGCGCACTTTGACCAGCTCAAACAGGAATGTACGAACAAATGCCATCCAGGTTATAAAACGGATCTGTTCTCCACAAGGCGAGCACAAGTCGGGTGGCATAATGCTAGCGTTATATTTGCTTGATCATATCGACGTGGTCGCATCAGAAGTGACTGCGCCACAAGCAATTATTGCCATTGCCGTAAACGAAGCCTATGACCGCATGCAGAGTCTTCTCATTGCCGAAGAAGCTATATTAGCTGCGCATACTGTTAAGACTCCAGTGTGGGTCAAAATTTTAGAACAGCAGAAGATTTCACTAGAAAATATCAATGTAGACAAATTACTTGCTCGTCTTATGAAGAGTGATGAAATAATCGACGAGCGGGCACATAAGTGCATAGCGTCGTTAGCCAGTTTTTACCCTGAAGTCATCTTTTCAAGGGTGGCACACTATTTTGAAGATCACTTAAAGGATCCGGCGCTTCTTAGTGTAAGTAAACTTGAAGTGCAAATTTTTCATTCACCAAAAGGTGAGGTTTTTGATAAGACTGTAATTGGACAGTCCCTAGAAGTGCCCGAGAAGAACGTAAAACGCGAAAGCAAAGCTTACACATACGAGGAGCAATTATTTGAACTTGAACTTAAAAAGATCAGCGAGCAAAAGAAGGGTATTCAACTGACGCCGAAACAAAAAGAAGCACTTGTGCTGCAGTTAGAAAAAGAAACCACAATCCGGCAGCACCTACAGCTATTGCATGTGAAAGTTGTCAACTCGAAACAACTAATGCTTACTCTTCTTAACAGCACAGACCTTCCCACCCACTTGGTATTCGTGCATCTTTCTCCCTATATGAAGCATATTGTAAGACGACTGCTGGCCATGCTTGGATCATACCTTGCAGCGAATCATATGAAAGATCTTCTTTATGAGATGATTATAATTACAGCTCCAACGAAACGAATAGGCTTAAGCGCTTTCTATGCGCTTTTGCGCGCAAGAGATGAAAGCAGAGCAGCTATAGATAATGAGTGGCGCCAAGAGCCGCTTGTAGATGCACTTCATCGAACTATCCGAGAACTCCATACATATATAGTCAGACAGCAAGGTTCCCAAGAGTATCATGAGATAGTGGCAAATGAGTTTACTGTGATGCGCGCTAAGCTAAATTCACTATTTTTCAACCTTGTCTTTCCACTGCTGGCACTTATTTTACAAAGAGAACTAGGTAGCGAAACAAGCATCCGATGTATTCAACTGGCGCAAGCATATTATGTGAAAAACTTCGTTGATGATGATGAGTCAATGGTGTTGTGCAATCCCGGCCATCTATGTTCTGCAGATGTGTTGTACACCCTGTTGGTGGTGGGCCAAAATACGGCCCTTCGTGCAGATGTGCAAATTGCATTGATAGAAATATGTCAATCACTTTCCGTGTTAAAAGCTGAGCCCGACGTCATCGATGGAATTCTCGAACTACTTTATTGCCCAAATGGTTTCGTTCGTACTATGTGCTTCCGAACTTTACAAGAACTATTTGCAAGGAATCAAACTCTTGCTGAGTCTTTGATCGCAGCCATAACGAAAAGCACGTGGATGTTTAAATGCGATCCAGAGGAGACTGTACGGTCGGCTGCTGAACAGCTGTGGTTACAGCTGAATCTACAAGCGAGCCCGGAATTTTTCGACGTTTTAGTTGAGGGAGCTCTTAAGCCTCAAGCTCATGCTCGACAGGCGGCAGGACAAGCATTGATGACGCTTTCAGCTATGCATCCTAACAAGATTGGAGAGGTCGTATCTGTACTCAGAGATCGTTATGCGACACTCATAGCGGATTCAGAGCCTCAAAAGGATAACTTCGGCCGCATCGTAGACTTGCATTGGGTAGACACTTGGTATTCTCGATGGGGTGTGGCACATGCGCTTCGCAGCATGGCGGGCAGCATGAATCAAACAGTAGTGATCGATGTGGTTAGCTTCCTCATTCCTACAGGACTGTCCGATCCTCATAGTAAGGTGAACATTGAAATGCTGGATGCTGGGTTAGCGATTGTAGATGCTGCAGGCAAAGAGAGTGTGTCACCCCTGCTCAAACTCATCGATGATTATCTCAAACGCGCTGAACAAACTCCAACAGGAGATCGCGTACGCCAGAGCGTTGTTATTCTTATGGGCGCTCTAGCTCGCCATCTTGATAAGAATGATAATCGTGTCAAACCTATCGTACGGCGATTGCTTGAACTTCTGTCTGTTCCTTCTCAGTCTGTTCAAGAGGCTATTAGCGCATGTTTACCTCCTCTGGCTCCCGCAGTTAAAGGCGAAGCTCCAGGAATTGTGAACAACCTTATGGCTGTATTGCTAAATTCTGAAAATTATGGAGAGCGTCGTGGAGCCGCTTATGGGCTAGCAGGATTAGTAAAAGGACTCGGTATTTTGTCGTTAAAACAGTTGGATATTATGCCTCGTCTTACAGACGCTATTCAAGACAAGAAGAATGTTCGTAAAAAGGAAGGTGCTTTGTTCGCTTTTGAAATCCTGTGCAATGTGCTGGGTAAGCTATTCGAACCTTATATCGTACATATTCTTAGCCACCTGCTCACCTGCTTTGGCGATTCAAACCAGTATGTACGCGAGGCAACTGAGGCTACAGCCAAAGCGATGATGCGTCACCTAACCGGTCATGGAGTTAAACTTACATTACCCATTCTGCTCGGCGCTCTTGAGGATGATTCGTGGCGTACTAAGTGTGGCGCTGTGGAACTGCTTGGCAGCATGGCCTACTGCGCTCCTAAACAACTGAGCACATGCTTGCCCACCGTAGTACCAAAACTAATTCAGGTAAGTAGATTCACTGCTTACTGTTGTGTCAACTTTGATATCATGTTTTGTATTAAAGGTAGACAATATCTATACATTACTAGCGTTGCTGAATGTTTCAGTAGAATCGTCTACATATTTAGCTTATATATTCAAAAGCGTCAAAAGTTTTATACCAGTGCACATGCTTAAATAATTCGGATCTCAGTTATTCGTTTTAAGCTAGCACTTTGCCAAAATTTATTGTACAAATGCCGCCTTTTTTTGGAATGTTAAAACGATTGTCAAGCTCGAGCGATCCCCACCTTGGATCCCCTTAATTTTCTCAAATGTTTTTCCATCTTAAATATTTATTCAGTTTCAAGGGAAAAAGCAGGATACAGGTAACGATGTGTGACCCGGTACATTTTCGTGCTAAAAAGTACCAAAAAGCCACAGTTAATTTTTTCTTGTAAACTTGTTGTGTAAGTCGTTGAAACATCTTTAACATGAGTTCATAATGAGTAATTCTCTAACATTAGAAAAATAGATGAAAAGAAACTGGAGTATAGATGTTGTTTTCCTCAGTCTGAATTCATCTTTGAAGCCTTGTTCCATCGGTTTTGTTTTCGTCTCAACGTCACATCGATAAAGCATTGAAGCAACTTTCTCTTTGAGCGGTTCCTCTTTAAGGTTGACCTGAGGTAATTACTGACGGCTCCATATGTTAGAGATTTGAATCCTTTGGCATAACCTTTGTTGTAAACCTCCTCGCCTTCTAACTGCCCTTCAGATTAATCCGATTTAGCTCGTGTAAGATACTTAAACTCTCCTGCAAGAAGCCTAAAGATCCAGCATTTCTCCAACAGTAAATGTTTTCTTTTACCACGCTTCTGTTCTCATTCAGTACAAAAAGGGGCTAAAAATTGTATTTGAAGAAATCTTTGTAGCAAATAGTTAGTACTATTGACGTACCTGGCTTTGACTTTTAGCTTAGTTTCCAAAACACTTTTACAACATGACATTGCCTATGGATACTTGACTTCGTAGCACAGAACGTTACACACGTTTTTAGCCTGAACTTTTATTTAAAAAAAAAAAAACAGGTGGAAGGAAGAAGACAAAACAAAGCACATACTTGAATATTTTCAAAGGCGGCTTGTGCCCAACGGGTAGGTAGTGAGTTTGATGCCACTAACTAGTCACGGACCTGCCTTAGCCAATAAAAGCTGGATATTTTATCGATATTTGTATAATTAAGATATACATTAGACTAGCTCTAATAAATATACAGGATTACACGTGTTAATTGGGAGAAACATAGGCAGGCTATATATCGTTACGCACATACGTTTATCCACTAAGTGTGGTACCAGGGAAAGACCAGCAATAACAAACAAAATTGTTATTTTATGGAATTTAAGCCAAGTTCGCCGATTGTCCGACTTTCTCGCACTGCACAACTCTCACCAAGATCAAAAATTTCGTACCCGAAAGTCCGGCATTGACGATCTACGCTCTTACTAGTTTTTGGCGGGTTGTGAAAAATGACTTCATAGAGCAAATCCGGAGATCTTCAATAGGTTTTAGATTTGAAAGGCCTGAAAATATGAAAATGACCGTCACCCTCTAGGTTTTAATATAAAATTTACCGGCTGTAACAATTGAGGCATATCCGTTCCAATGACCAATCTTGAGTCTTTTTGCGCTTTTTAAACTTTATGGCTGTATTGAGTCATTACATTTTTAGGACCTTTGGCCTGCTATCGGCCGAAAATGCTTGTCTGCAGCGTGTGTAAGCCACCCTTTAAGAAATTCACAGCTATCAATATTGCTTGACATGCGATTACTATTAAAAAGTTATTGCATTTAAAGACGGAATAGGTTGGAAATCATTTGTTAGCAACTTAGGTGCCGAATTGAAGCCTTAATCGCGGCGAGTGGCATATATGTACGGACGTCAGAAACCAAATACAAAACATTTTGTTGAAATATCTATTCGTTTAGATACAGTCTATATAAATAAGCAAAGCAATCCACGCAAATGTTGTCCATTTACCTAGGAAAATACATGCATTTGGAGGAACTGACCAGGAAAGATAAGCTTATAGATAATGCCGTACCGTGTGCGCTTCTTTGTTTTTTCGATTTTACAAAGAAGTATCGTTTACTTATGTTATTTAGGTGCTGAGTGATTCGCATGTGAAAGTACAGCAAGCTGGAGCACAGGCTCTCTCCCAAGTGGGTCAGGTCATAAAAAATCCAGAAATTCAGGAGATTGTCGGAGTACTCCTCGAGGCTCTTCAGGTAACTGTTCCACACATATTACGAAGATTTTCTCGTATAAACAGCTTAGGCAGTGGCACTTATTCATTTCATACGATTTGTGTTACACAATATAGCAGATTTCCATAAATATATGCAAGATACTTTATAAGATTGTATTATGTACCTGTATGAACGTATTTATTGCCTGGCTAGGTATTTGTTTGCAATTGGCCCACTAATCTGGTCAGGCCACATTGGATTTATAGGATCATGGTTTGATATCCGAATGAGGTGATGGAATACACCGCAAATCTTGTTATGATGTGGCTATTACTTTGTTGTACCTGTTGTCGGTCTTAGCTAGGACGAAAGAAATGAAGTGTCTACTTCCCCATCTTCAACCTTGTGTGTGTAAATGCAGATTTACAGAATATTGAAGGCCTTTCGACCATTCTTGATAAACATCGGATTTTTGGTCAACACGTAGTGAAGCTACTGCGATTTGTTACGTGAGGACCCAGAAGAATTCCGCCTGTACTCGTGTGGCAGTCGGTGCAGTCTTCAAGCTAAATAACGTTACTGCTGTTTCGACTTTTTGCGGGTTTTTGATCGCGACAATTGTGACGATTTTTTTCGAACTTGTTCCTCTACGTGATGAGCAAACTACCCGTTTGTTGTCAACGATAGGTTGACGTAAACAAGTTGACAATTTTCAGCATCGTTTTGTTCTTTCCTCTCTTCGTAACTCGGTAGGGTTTGCCTTTACCGTCATGCTGCAATCTGTTTATACTGCTGGCACTATTTGCCTCAGTCGTGCAAGCGTTAACCGAGACAGTCCAGTAGCGTGTTGTCGCAGTCGCTGTCTTCCGCTTAAGATGGTGCTAATTTCTTTGCAGTACTGCCATCCGCTTGTTTTCTGATAGCCGACATAGATAGTGACGTGGCAGTTCGATTAGTAGGCTTCTGCAGTATTTTTACTGTATTTTAGTGTTTAATGATCCAAAAAAATGACAAAATACTCAAAGCAAAACAAAGTAGCTCAGTTTAGCTGCCTTCATATAAGTTGCGTAAACTACGTTTACGCGAACTAATATTGCTTGACGCGCGGTTACCATTAGAAAGTAATTTGCAAATTAAAGAAGGGATATTTGGAAATGACAAGTTAGAACTTTAGGAGCGGCATTGGAGCTGTAATCGCAGTTGAGGTAATATTTATATATGCATATATATATATATATATATATATATATATATCAAAACAGCAAGGTTGTGATAATAGGCAACTGATAACTACTGCTGCTCGCAGGGCCCTGTACATGCAGCAGCTTGGAAATAAAAATATAGTAATTTGGTTTATCAAAATCACATGTTTAGTATTCCATTTCAAATCTAGTCATGAGAAACTGTTTCGATTAAAAAGGCTCTCAGACCTAATCTGTCAAAGCCTATTATAAGCGTGATTGTAGTACAACTAATGTTATATTTTTTATATTATATCTACCCAAATAATGTTAGATATAAATATAATAGTTTAGTTTATAAAAGAAATTCCAAAGAAAAGGTCCGAAACCTCTTCTTTTAAAAAGTACCATTCTTAGTAGTTTTGACTTTACGAGTTACAAACTCAGTGACGTATTCAAAGCTGTGATATTGTTGGTAATGCCTGCCATTTTGTGGCTTTTATTCAACACACATTGAAACATTTATCTTCGAGCTATGATGAATATATAACCGGAGATAGCGGTAACTGCGGAAGAAGACCGAGTGTTCTACAGTTTATGGAACGAAGGTTTCTGAGGGGTACTGTACGAACGTGTTAACATATAGAATATGTTGCTCTTTATTGTTCTCTGCTTCGAGCTATCTCTTCAGCGGATTTCACTGGGCAGCTTAGGGTCAGTTGACGACTACCGTCTTAAAAATCAAACAGTTCATATAATTGATGCAAGATACTCTAGGGAGCACACATAGCTGTGGGCAAAAGTTCCCTGGCAGTCACCTGTGTTATGCCGCAATTATAGTGACAGCGACCTCTTTTTTGTTTGTGAACCACGCACGAAAACCATATCCAATTTGAACACGATCAGTTTCGTAATCGGAATACGTTGGAGCAGTCAACCCGTTCTCGAATACGCAAAGAAATTTTAAACCTCGTTCGGGGAGTTCCGAAATTTAAACCTCTTCAATAGATCTAAGTTTTCAAATCCCAAGGCTATAGAAGAAGTAACCGTTTTTGCTGATTCACAAGACAACTGTTAGAAAGCGCGCAAACTGGTCTGAGGTTTTTATGTTTGTGGCTTGAAGCGCCTAATAATATATTGTAAAAGTATTTTGTAAAGTTATGGTTCTCAGGTAATACCAATCGCATCAAGTCAGCGCTCATGTGTTTTGAAAACTGAGATTTGACAGTAGCAAATGTGTTGACATTATTGGAATACCTTTATTCAGGCTCTCGACAGAGCTCGTGAAGGTACCTGAAATTTCCGTAAAAACTCCCTATGTTTTAAAATTTTATTAGAATGAAAAAGCTTAGGGCCATAAATAATTACGCTGTTCAGAGTCAAGATGCATTATTGGAAGAAAATGTCCGAAGATGGTTTTGGCGATTTTGTTGTGATTCGGTTCGATGCAAAAAAGGTTCCCGGTAGTGGTTAACCGATTTCGAAAAAGAATAAAGAAATTATCACGAAAGTTGAAGATGACTGAGGCGTTAGTAGTCACCGCATCGCCCAAAAACAAAACATCCAGCAGACCAATAGTTTCAGACCATTTAAATAAAGCTGGCTGCAAGAAAAAGCTTAATATTTCGGTACCACATATATTGACGCAAAATGTTCTCTGTCGTATTTTCATTTGTGGAACTCCAAGGAAATCGAACTATTTAAAGGAGTTGATCATTGGTGATGGACACTAGACCACATACTGATATAGGAATGTTTATCACAGTCGGAGCATTCCAGGATCTGTCATCCTCAACCATGCAAAAAGAAGATGTAAAAAGCATCTACGTGCTACCGACACGAAGTCGAAATATACTGTTATAACTCGTATGAAACTTACTCTAATGAAATAAAAATATTTCATTTAATAATTTATATTAAAAACAGTCTTTATCTCGGGTTCAAATTTTCTATTGCTCGAATTTGTATTATAATAAAAATAAATTCTTTTTAGTGGTGCGGGGTCACAGCCGGTAAGTTTGTACTAATTAATACGACCATAACCGATGAACACTCGATTGACAATAATCAGAACTGAAATGTGGTAAATAAGCACTAATAGCTCCGGGGACAGTTGGCACAACACTAGTTTTCCAACCGCTTGTCTGGGCAAGCTTTCCTTTATAAGAGGCACTCGAAGCAATACGTTTCCAACCAGTGCTCAAGTAATATGTAAATAAAGAACTAAGAAATATGCTTAGTAATCTGTGATAAAATCTTGACTGACACCAAAGGAGGCGATCCTGTATGTTCCGTGGGATTTTAAATGAATGAATTGTCGCCGCCTGGCGAAACGATTGATTCTGACCTTCACGGATAACGAGATTACAACAAGTCATTGAAAAAAATTGACCGGAACTAATGAACAGAACCTTTCTTCTACCATAACAGTGCATCATCTTGCACCATCAGACTGGCATCTATTTGGCCCTCTGAAGAACGTTTTTAATGGTGTTAATTTAGTTCTTTAGTTAGTTTAGGAATGTAAAAATCATTTCAGTTCTTCGACCAAAAGTGACGAAAGCTATCCCATTTTGGTGTTGTGTATCAAAAGCAACATACGACCATCGATAAAAATTGTGTATATTTAGTTTACTAATATTATTTCAAAAGAAAGCATTTACTTCAATGTCGATTAACTTTTTGGACTAATATATATATATCTATTTTGTTCTGCAGAATCCATCAGACAAGACACAGTCATCACTTGCGACCTTGCTAGAAACGAGATTTGTGCATTTCATCGATGCGCCTTCTCTTGCTCTTATTATGCCCGTCATTCAGAGAGCGCTTCAGGTACTTCCATCCACCGAGTAATAGTGATTCTAGGTAAATTTTTATATTTATAAAACGTGATTTGTGTGTTTCCACTAGTGTTTCCAGGTTCTCGGCTAATTCAGTACTTTAGGTAAGAAAAATTTTTAAGTGGAAGACACCAAAGTATCGTAGCAGTATTTACTACACCAATGTAGTAGTATTTACTATTAAATACAGAAATATCGTAGAACATTCATCACACAATTATCATGATGTAATTATGTGAGAATTATTGCTTCGATTTTTATTTTCGTTTGCAACTGATTTACTAGTCGTAAATATTACTATATATATTGGCTTCTGCTATCCATATAGTGATAGATTAATATAAGATTGATTTTGAACCTTATTAGTTCCCATTTTTCAGTCTTAAAAGAAAATTATTACAACTTGTCATGGCGGCGAAAGAACTGCAATACGTGCTTAAAACATTTTGCATGCAATAACCTCCCAAGGTTGAAAGGCGGTATACGTATCCTTTAAACCAGCTATATGCAACACATGGAAATAAGTATTGGGTTGTATTGCAAGTAATAGCTGCGTTTTTTAATGAGCTCTTTCCCATTGCTTTCTGTACGATTTTCTTTTATATATCGTTCAGTGCTCTTTCTCTTCTATAAGTCCAAGAGCATTTTACGATGGGTTGAGGTTCGAAAACTGGAGGCTTCAAGTAAAAAAAGAAGCATTTTCGACATTTCAAGCCGTTGCCGAGGTCAAGAAATGCTGAAACAATACGAAATATTTGTTCCATGTACAATCTGAGTTTTATATCTAAGAAGACTGCAGAAAACTGGTTTTCAAAAGTGGTTCAAAAGCTCAATATATACTTTTAGAATTGGACAATATCCCTCTTTGGCCGGTCTGTTTAATTAGGACGGCCTGGAGTTTCCTTGGACGACACAGAACGTTAAAGAAAGCGGAAAGGTGAATTAGAAAGGAATATAACTATGCACAGACATTTTTAATCTATGGGATCTACTGAGCACCAAAGAAGCGCGACTCACTACTTCTCAGCATCTCGCCGGGCATCGAGGAACACGCAGCGGCAGTTACTGATTTCTACACAGAGCTGCTCCTAGTAATGAAAAATGGTGTCTCCAGTCTATTAAAGAGAAATAAAGGAAATGGGCAGCAGAATTCAGTTGTATCTCCAGCTCAAAAAGACCATAATCTATATTGGCACTTTGTTACAATATTCATCATTGAAGCCTAAACTCAAGACATAATTTTGTTTACCACACAACATATTTAGAAAAGAAAGAGCGCTTCCAAATCGTCAATGAACCGTGAAGAAAGAAAGCATTTGCAAAAGCTGGTAGTACATTTTGAGCAATCCAATATGCTTAAGAACTGAGTACTCATTTCATCTACGCTCACATGCTTTTACTTTAAACAGAAGCACTGGTTTTTATATAATGACATATTTCTAAATTATTTATGCCACCCCTTCTTTATTGAATTCTCTCACGCCCCAGAATATTGGTTTTCGGAATACAGAACATTATATTACATTATTATATTACAATATATTATATATTATACATTACTCTATAGCCCTCGACTTTATGGCGAACTCTATTGATAAACAGAATACGGACATGCTGGGGCCATTGGATTTTCAATTACTACTTATTTAACATAGCGTCATGTTAACAGAGCGTATTTTTGAAAGCTTGCCCTATTCCTCTACAAATATATGAGTAATTCATGGCGCCATATTGTGATACCATTAGAAAGACTGCCGTTTTTAATATTTGGGAATACCTTGAAGGCTGCACAGAATCACCTAGTTGTCCTACAATGTAATACTATATGGAGAAGATCAACTTAGTGCGCTTTGCCTTCAAGGAACCAACAATAGAAAAATGCGTTTCAAGAGTGCTTTGTAACCTTTTTGCATATTATTTCCAGGATCGCTCAACAGAAACCCGGAAAATGGCTGCTCAGATTATTGGTAACATGTATTCACTGACAGATCAAAAGGACCTAATGCCGTATTATCCCTCAATCCTACCGGGCCTCAAGACTTGCCTCCTTGATCCTGTGCCTGAAGTGCGAACTGTATCTGCGCGAGCTCTTGGTAAGTATACTTAAGTGCTAAAAAGTTTTATTGTTAAAGAGTGAGTCATATCCAAATAGTTAAACCAATTACAGCGTTTTTGGTAATTTGAAGTATCTAGCTTATTTGTGGCTGACCTTAGAGGCCTTTACCTCCAATATCATCCTAATAAAGTATGTAATCATATATTTCTTTAAATTAATATCATGTTTGAGTGGGCATGACTCGTCCTTTGTCGATTAAGAGAAACAGTTAATGCCTCCTTTAAGCTCAATCAGGAACAAAAATCTGAAGGTGATTTTTTACATAACTCTTTCCCTAGGATGAGTCGATCGCTATAATTCGTTAACAAGCTAACATATATATCCGAAACAAACGCATAGTTCAATGCATTAAGTCAGTGGTTTACAAGCAAGAGCTTTACTAGCTGAAACCTTCAAAGATAATTTAGATCGTATAGCTAATGAACGAGGTGGAGGAAGAACTACCAAAAGATCTGGGTTTATAGTTAGTAAGAAGCTGATGTAGCGCATTTCATTGTTCATGGATGAAATGGGTTTCCCTGTGCAAACCTTCCCACAAGTACCAAAAAAAACTGACAAGAAGAGCGGCTGTTCGATAAGAATTATAGATACCCTGTGATACGGCCTAAAATATTGGTATCACTGGTTACCGGATATAAAATTGTTTTGATGACGATAAAAAAGTTATTTCTACCTTTATATTTTTTTGAAAAATGCTATAAGGACACAGTACATAAATCAACGAGAGGTCGTGCACTACTTAAGGACAATGCAAGATTTAATTGATTGAAGTATTGTAGTAACGGCCAGAATTGACAAATAATTATTAAATAATAATATTCTTCTATTCTTCAAAAATTTAGTTAAGAATACTTCTTGAATTTTGATTGACGGCTGTTTGAGTGATCAAAAGGATTGATTGGTACAAAGGAGGTTAGTATTGATTTATTCAAACATAGATAACCGCATAACGTATTACAATGAAAAATGGTAAATGTAAATCCTAAGTGTAATGTGTGAATAATGAACAAGAATTTTTAGTCCTAAAGACTAACAGCGTAAACTACCTGTTTACGATTGTAAATTACCCTCTCCGCCTGAAGAACTGAAAGCGCGTGAAACGCGTCTTTATTAAAGACTTTTCTGAACTAATTCTTTTAATGAATGGTTTAATATGTGTATTGGTTCAGGCTTTTATTTAAAAGAAGATGAGGTTCTGATCATTTGTCTTGCTTTATCGATTTTTTCTATAAACGTTTTCGAAGTTTTCATTCAGAGAAGTGAAATTATGAAAATATACGTCGTTTGTTTTAGCGTCCAAATTCTTTTATCCGATGTAACTTGCACCTCTTAGGGATTATATTTTCATAATACTTCCTTAACGACACTTCTAACAATTAGATCGTAACTGCTGCGGCGTGTAGAAGGTCCATTGTTCAGTCTGTAACTGAGGCTTGCCGTATTTAATAAAAATAGTTCGGGATCATTTCATATAGAGTGTCTTAGAAAGCCGAGTCCATCGATTTGGTATTTTATTAAAAAATTGCAGATAGGTAGCACTATGCACGGATCAAAAATCTATCGATAAAACATCTGATTTCTGTTGGCTAAAGGGCGACCCGTAACTGGGCTTGTAACGCAGCATTTGCCGGCTTATCTACTATTGACAGGCCAGATTTAACAACACTCAAACATGTGCTTTGGATATTGCAAGAACCTTGAGCTGGATGATTTTCGTCTTTGTTTCTTTCTATGTGGAAAACCATAAGTACAAAAACGTGAGTGTTAAGGATGAAAGCTAATGCTGCAGAAGGGGTTTATCTTGAGGGCGAGTGTGGCATTAAAGGTTTCGCGACAGATTCACGATTACGTGAGGACAACTAGCATGGTACTCTGCGTATAGCTTAGGCAAGCTCATACGAAAAAGGTCTGCCAAGTTCAGGTCAAAAAGCGAGTCTTTTGACTATTCGGCTGTATTAAGTGGTTCTGTTGTAGTTACATCGTTTAATGTAATTGCAAATAATTCAGATTTTCATGATATCCATGCCTGAGTTGCTGTAATCATCTTCATCGCCATGTCTAAGCTTCTTGTAACTACTTCAACTCTAGTATACACCATAACCGCTTTTCAAAGCCCAATAAAAACAAAAGTCCAAAAAGTTTTGAGCTAATCGAGGAAGTCTGAGAAATAACGATAGCGATCTAGTCTGAAAAATTACAACAGCAGACTGTTTATTCCTAATATTAAATCTAGAATCCTAGGACTGAGGAACTATTTTACATGATTCTAAACAACACGTCCGGGGAAGATTTACAGGAGACACCTGATATTGAAACGATTGAGCCATGTCTACTTGTCACATATCATACTTAATCACAGGCGTCTATTTAGCTTACCTAGAGGACAACCTAGAGGTAACTATTATGGTTAAATAGTGTAGACAGCATAAGGCGCGTTGTGCACGTATGTGTGAATAGAAGGGTTAACTGGGTGGTGATAAGTGTAAACAGATATGTCACGTTCAGTATTTTGCGCTACTGTGCTCTATGAAACGTTCGTTTATATATACCTTAAAATGTATTATTATCTACTTAAACGTAAACTTTATTTGGAGCTAATGGGAGCGTCAGTTCTGGGCATCTATGAGTTTGCCACCGCTGTATGCTTCATCTGTAGCGAGTTGGATGAAGAGATCGACAGTAAGGTAGCCTGCGGACAGGCGAGCGAGGAGAGCGTCTAACGCCGAGTCTGCTTGCGACGCATCCTCATCGCCTGCGTCCAGGCACCTTCCGCATCTATGCTCTAACTCCGTCCATACTCAACGTCATACGTTGTCATCTACCTGGCTTAGCTCGGTATGGTGTCGCTGCCACTTAAATATTGCAAATAAGAAGACTATTACTGGCAAACTGCAGTTTATTTGACTTAAACCAGGCCTTTAGATACAGATTTAGGCCGCATTTACGTTGTAATTATACCACCAATTTTTACGGTTTTTTCACACATACACAGACGCATATATGTATATATGGTTAGTGATGGGGATTGTAATAGGGATACATATATATTATAACTTTTTGTACTTTGTTTGCGTACTTCATTTTTCATTAATTATTATATTCGTATCTTTAAGGTACAATTGTCAAAGGTACAGGAGAACAATGCCTGGACAACCTAGTGCCATGGTTGATGGAAACTCTTACTTCTGAGGCTTCTCCAGTGGACCGTTCCGGAGCGGCACAAGGACTTGCAGAGGTTATGGGTGGCATGGGCGTGCACAAGCTACACGTTGTCATGCCTGAGCTTATTGAGTCTGCCGAGCGAACCGACCTTGAGCCACATTTCCGTGATGGGTATTTGATGATGTTTATCTACCTGCCGTTGGTATTCCACAAGGGGTTTACATCCTATATAGCGCAAATCATCAATCCGATTCTACAAGGTTTGGCAGATGAGACAGAGTTTGTGCGCGACACGGCACTTCTAGCCGGGCAACGCATCGTGGCTATGTATGCGGAAACGGCAATTCAGCTGCTGCTACCAGAACTCGAAAAAGGTCTTTTCGACGACAATTGGCGCATTCGTTTCAGCTCGGCTCAGCTTATTGGCGATTTACTTTATAAAATCTCTGGCGTCTCAGGTAAAATGACAACGGAAACCGCTGACGAAGATGATAATTTTGGTACTGAGCAATCCCATACAGCGATATCCGGCGCACTCGGTGTCGAACGAATGAATCGCCTCTTCTCTGGACTTTACATGGGCCGTATGGACACGTCTCTCATGGTGCGGCAGGCGTCTATACATGTTTGGAAGGTGAGCATTCTATTTTTGATTTATAATATTACTAACACTATTTAAGCATTTACTTATGTATATTGAGGAATGTACGTTGCGCGAGAATTTTATTTCGCGTCGGCGTGACTCGTCTGCTATTTAATTTTTACGCTAATTATCACTTCTTCATAACATCTTTTTTTTGATGTCTTTGTTTTTGCTAATTCTAATACAAGGCCTGGTTGTGAAAGGCGATGATCATCACCCACGCGCAATCACACCTGAAGGTGAAAGTGCGCTCAAACTAACGAAAATTTGCTTTATTGATAAAGGTCGTGGTATCGAACACTCCGCGGACACTTCGCGAAATTCTTCCGACAATGTTCGGACTATTGCTTGGCTTTTTAGCTAGTAACTCACATGACAAACAACAAATAGCAGCTAAGACACTCGGTGACCTTGTACGTAAACTTGGGGAGCGCGTTTTGCCTGAAATAATGCCAATCCTTGAGAGAGGCCTCGATTCTAAGGATGCAGATCAACGGCAAGGAGTGTGTATTGGTAAGTCTTTGTAGCTTAAAGCCGTCGTTTACATGAAACAAAATTAAGGTTTCTTAGTATTTCGCAACGAAGATGAATAAGCAAAGCTGATTTTTACGCGATTTGCGTAAATGGGTCCACATACGGACAAAATACTTCTTTATAGATGTAGTGTTTAAAGCACCGAAGCTCTCCTTAACAGATTTTCGATTTTCAACCGTTTTGGGGTTCAATTATAAATAACGATAGACCTGCGATAGCTCACAAGATTTGAAAAAAAAGTATACATGTGTGGTACTTGTCAATTGGAGTTTTAACGTAATGTTATTACCATTAATTAAATTAGAGCAAGAATTTGGTTAGTAGAGAAAAAATATCGAATTTTAAAAGAGATTCGATATTTATTCCTGGGACTTGATAATTTCAAATCTGTCTTATTTTCAGGTTTGAGTGAGATTGTAGCCTGCACGCCACGCCAGATGGTGTTACACTTTCTCGACAACCTGGTACCAACTGTTCGCAAAGCGCTTTGCGATCCGCTCAAGGTAATGTGCGTTATGTTGAACTGGTGGGCTAATTATAAGTGCACCGTTTGTGAGCGCTAACAACTATGAATATTGGCCTCACATCGTCTTCCTTTCGTTTCGACTGTGTTCTTATTGAAAGTATATATAAAGTGCCAAACTATATGCTAAAGCTTCTCTCAAATACAAATCGTTTTTTTCTTAGGCGGTCATACCGTCAAGCTCGTAATACAGTGTGTTTGGTTAGACATTTTACGAACGACTCATGGTATATATGTTTAATCTCATGGTTAATAATACATCTGAACTCATGTCTGCCGGAATTCCCCAGCTTCCTCCATTCAGTAAAGTCCATTTATTCTAATTTTTACGGTCATTCTGTGAAGTGTTTTAATATAAATTTGACCCACAACATTTTACTTAACCTCAAAATTTGAAACACATCTATTGAACAACACCGACCGATAAGATACAACCAGATGCTGCGTAACCCTATGCATTTTTTTGTATGGAACATTCAGCCATTTTAAAATGGGGTAAGAAACGGGTTTACAAGCGAAGAAATACGCTACTCTAGTCAATACATATTATGTTTCAATTTTTGCATTCCTATTGGTTCATAGTACGGCTAATGCCAGCATGAATATTATAATCTTTATTTTGCAAAATAGATTTAAAGTTATACCAACTACTAGGCATAACTAGGGTATTAGCACTGAGAGATTTTAGTTCTTACTTAGATATATTTTTAGCAAAGGTAGTGTTTGCAGTATTTCGAAATTCATCACATAGCATTTCGCAAAATTAGCCTAACGACTGAAATGCTAGATAGTTTGATAACTGAAACAAAAGCGCAAAATAACTGATTGCTATTTATGCAGGCCTTATGTTTTCAATTTTTATTGTCAAGGTGAAAAGACTAATTATCAAAAAAGGTCACAGAAATTGCCATGCTACTTATGCTAAGGATATATCCATGAAGTGTGTTCCCATAGAATTAGTTATACATAACTATTTTCTTATTCATTCATTTAAATTAACAGGAGGTTCGTTGCGCAGCAGCGAAAACATTCGACAGCCTTCATACAGCCGTTGGAGCCCGAGCCCTCGAAGAAATTATCACCCCATTATTCGACAACCTGGAAAGTGAAGACAGGCAACTTGCAGAGGATACCCTTGATGGCTTGAGGTGATGCGCGTATTATATTTATATAAAATATTAAATTAGAGATTTCTGTTATTAATTTTTTCCGTATGTGATTGCTGTTCACCTGAGCGCGATCGTGCTCATGACATTTAGGTTACAAGAGCTGTACATGTTGTTAATTGCAGGATACCTCATTGAATTTAGCTAGGTTCTTCACTAATTCTTTATGATAATTTGACTATGCAACAGGAAAAAAGGTAATTTGTTTTTCAGAGTAATTGTTGAACCGGCGATATGCCAACAGTTTTCTATCGGTTGTTCTGCATTTGCCTCCTAGAGCACGCCGAAACCTACTATTTTATAGACTTAATATATGACTCTTACTCTGATAATAGTAACTTAGGTTGGCACCCAGGTGCAGTTAAGCATTGCAATTTTGTTTTGCAAAAAGTAGTTTATCGTCGAAAAAAATATACCAAAGCCGGAAGGAATCTAGTTGGTTAAAAACAAGTGTTTTTTAAGAACTAGGCTCTTTGGAAAAGAATAAATCGTTAAAAAGGTGTTGCTGTAGCGAAGATCTTAAAAAGTAGTGTAACCGCTTCAGTATTTTCCAAGATCCTATTGTGTTTCATGATCATCCATAGACAAGTAATGATGCTACGCTCCAAGTTTGTGCTGCCTCATTTGGTACCTCAGCTGACACGGCCACCTGTAAACACTAAGGCCTTGTCATACATCTGCTCCGTTGCACAAGGAGAAGCTCTTGTACAGCATTTTGCCAGGTAACGGTAGTCGATTGTTAAATATTGTATAACAAATGTAATTCGGGAAATACCAGAAGTAGATATAAATCGCTTTCAAACGCTACGATCATAGATTTTATTTCGGCTTATTATTTATTAGAACTTATTTCGGGCTATATATAATTCTCCTTAAGCTCTGTTACCTGCAATAATTTTTATTTTCTTGTAGTGCGCGGTATATAATCAAGAAAATAAAAAGAGAGGAAGAAGAGCTTTAAAGGAAAAATGTATTAGCTTTTACCGATATGATTAGGTTGAGTGTTAAGTGCACAGCAGATCATTTTTGTAGAGAAATACTCGTGGTGTGAGAACTGATTTGGGCCCTTTGAAATGTAAACGTTTTGTGTGATCTTTCACTATGATAAAGATATTTAGTTGTAAATGAAAGGAAACATTGAAAAGCTATTTTATATTATATAATAAATAATATAAAAAATAAAATTAAAATATAATAATTTCACTACTTTATACCTTTATATCTACCTATATATACCTATACATATACTATTCATTAGAATAGAGCTATATAGAATATCATTAATACTTCTCTTTTTCTCCATGTTCAGAATTTTGGACGCGTTGTTGGTGAGCTTCAGCCAAGCTCTAGATACTCCTCAAGAAGTGGACGAGTTAGGATATTGTCGGGCTGTCGTGCTAGCCACTCAAGAACCAGAGTGCATTCAGGTTCGTTGTCAGCTGGCAAAATTAGCGGCAAAACAACGCCGTGTAATAATAATGTGATCAACACTTTTACGATATATTTTAACATCGACTTCAAGTACACTCTGTTGCTTCCATTTCTTTCGACAGGTTCTTTTCTATGCGAATATTTCTCCTGAACTTAGTGCCTCTAATTGCTCTTTCTTTACTCTAATATTGCTTTGTGATATTTTGCACATGTTGATTTTGCCTATTATTTCCTTAACTTTGATACGTTAGTAAGGTCATACCGTTCCAAGCGAACCTCCACAATATTTGAACCCTTATTGATGAAACGAAAAATGCTCTGAGAATGATGTAGAAATACTTTCGACCCATTACAATTTACACTCTAGATGTAAAAAAATAACACCGTACCAATTTGAGAAGTTTGTTATAAAGTTTTATACAACCTAACCAAAATATTTCCTATATTGCTACATGCGCTGTATCGACGTTGAATATCTACACTTGATACTGAAAATGATCAACCAGTTATGGTGTTTGAGATAAAAATATATGAGGATAGGTAATCTGTGACCCATGAAAATTATTTTTATTTTTAGGAAGTTACCTATCCCATATATATATAAATCCATTCAATACCTAGATGTGGCTGATTTTGTGATACGCAGCGTATATCCTACTAGGCGTTATGTATTAAGGAAGTTAATGTAACAAATACCTAGTTATTGAAATATACTTTTCTAAATTTTGTCTGTTTCTTTTCTCAACTGTGTGAGAAATAAAAAAATTTCTAGAGTATGCTCCGTGGTATTCAGTTCAGTATTGGGTTATCTTCTAGAATAGACCTTTATTGAAAAACCTATTTTGTTCAACTATGATTTGGCGCAAAGAACGAATGCCACTGATTTAATTAAAAAAAAAAAGAAATTAAAAAATTTCTTATATTATCATCCTCCTGAACCTGAAAAGGGTAATGAACATGGAAGTAAATGGTTTTTGAATTGCAGTGCTTATTGTATTATTACCCGTTCAATGTACCAATAGATCTTATGAAATATTTTATTTCCTTATATACAATCTGGTGAACGGGATGTTAGTTGTACTTGGTACTAACACGTAGCAACGAAGCTTTCTTCTCAGTATACCTCGTTCTATAATTTGCTTAGTATCCATTTCAGGTACATTTCTATTTTTTACTATCAGATAAGAAGATGCCGTAATTTGTCCGTAATGTCAACAGGTGCGAATTATCGAATACGTTCGTGCGAAGCTTTTTTTTTTTACAAACAATGAGCTCACATTTTTTTTTGCAGGTAATCGTAGATACCCTCCTTTCTGCGTCAAGAACCAGCAATCTCCGCATGAAGCGAGCTTGTGTGGCTATATTGTGCGCATTTTGTACCAACACAAAGAGTTCACTCGAAACACACTTTGCATCTTTAATGCGGGACCTCATTCGGTTGTACCTCGAGACAGACCTTCATATACTTGCATTAGCAGCTGAAGCACTACTTGCACTAGTGAAACAGCTACGCCCTGGTGAGGACGGCGACTACAGGGTTATGGAAATTAGAGGAGCCGTACGTAGTGCAGCACAGTCACTCAAGAAAGATTCTCCGTACAGCAATCGGTTGGACGGGCCACTTCTTCCTGGCTTGTGCACTGCAAAGGGCGCCGAGCCACTCATCTCCATTTATAAGGTCTCCCCTTTTTTGTCTAAAATATTGTGACAATTTCCTTACCAACGACAGATACCGGGTAAATTATATTCGTTTGTTTCTGGCTCTATAAGTTTTGCCGAAGTGTTGCTTCGTACGCTTTCTTTTTTTATACTGTTTTATAGGAATTAAATGCTGCTCGAATAAATCGCGTTTATATGGCCGGTACAATTGGTGACAGCGTGAAAATAGCGAGTTAAATTGGA